CCCCAAAACCCCAAAACCCCAAAACCCCAAAACCCCAAAACCCCAAAACCCCTTAAAAATAGTGAGAAATGAAGGAGAATAATACTTAAAAACATAATCAGAATGTGCTGAATCATGTGCTATTTCCCTCCGAAATGAGTCAAGGTGGCCTTATTCTTCGTTTCACTCTTCCTAATCGTAAGTCGATCTTGCTCATCAGCTTATAGGCTTGTGGAGCCGTTTCAATATGGTTCGGAGTAACCGCAAAAGACTTCACTATTTATGGAATTATCGGATCACTTGCAGGGTTCGATCTCCAGCAAATCCTCTTCCTAGTCTTCGTCATATTGGGATGTTTCCTGTTCTTTGTATGCGTGTGTGGCGCCTGTATTTCCCTCAAAAGAGTTTGCCTTGTGCACTGTTGCTTTACACTGATGGTCACTCTTTCGTTCATTGTCTTTCTGGTTACAGGAATCGGTTTGATAGTAGGCACAGAACTCATTGTCAAAGAAATGGACAAAGCTTGTGAGGATCCAAACGCTGGTGGTATCTCTGAATCGTTCAGAGAATTGTACGCTAGTGCTGATACGATTTATTGTATAAATGGCATCACTGGCTGTGAATGTTATGTCAACTCCACTCGTTTGGTAGGACCTGGATACACCATGGTCAACTCGTCCTCAACTGTAATTAGAGTGCAGCAATGTACTGCCCATCTGGAGGAGGCTTATGCTGATTACGGAGTCAGTTTTGACGACTTGAATGCTATCATGGAGTACTTAACCTACTTTGGAGATATAGAAAGGGAGTACAAATGTTCTGGAATTTGTACCTTCAAGAATAAATACTACTTCTCAGATATCAACATTGGAGCTCCAGAGAAGACATGCTTCGATGTGATCAGAGACGATATCATCCTTGGAGATGTCAGAAATTATGGAATCGGTTATACAGTGTCAGGAGCTGTCCTCTTCATCATCTGGTTCGTCCAATATGGACTCTGCTGCAGGAAGAAGAAGAATGCCAGGAAAGGACAGACAAAGATGTTTTAAAACAAACCAGAATAATTTTAGGTTAAAAATTTAGGATATTCATTAAACTTTGTTTTTGTTTCAGAAATTTATGAATCTTGATTTTTATATACTGGGCATTTTACGCTTTATAAGGCCTTGAGGAAGCTGTGAAGCTACTTAAAGATGAAAGCAACACCTTGTGTATCTTTAGAGGGAAAATTAAGTCTAGCCATCAATCGCTAGCTGCTGTTACAACTTTAGAAATAGAAGGTCTTACCAGATCCCTGGTTTATCCATTAGATCAGAAATTTTTATGAATGAAGATTTTCGCCTTGATTATTAAAACGCTTTTCCTTAAGATCTCTTTGGTGAATAATTCTCAAATGTATTGAGTGCTGTACCTTAGTGTTTATTGATGAATCTCTCAACACTTACATCATTTGTGCTCCCTAAACCCCCTCGATTGATCGTCCACTAACACTAAGCGTGAGATACGGTAACTTCATTCATAAGGTTTTGTGATTCCTATAATCTCATTAGCTGGTAAACAAATTGCTATTGCAGAAATTGATTTATATCCCCACAATTGTATTCACCAGTCATTTAGCTCGCTGAAGGTTCTAGATATGTTGTTTACACTCGAAAGGGTTCTAAATATGGCATCTATCGAGTCTACCAGTCAATGCTAGTTAACCAATAGTCCAAGATTTGTAATTTCCAAGAAATTATATTTATGAGGTATGTGAAGGCTTCCCATTCTACAGAAGTGGGTAGCCAAGACCTGCTGTCCAAGTGAGTATCTTCTATTAGTCTATCTCTGTCCTTAAGTCTACTCTGGGGGTCTCATAGATCTGTCTTGTTAATTACGATAATTGTTAATTTTCAGAAATAGTTTCAGAGGTTTTTACCTACATTTCTGAAAATTATCTTGAGATTCCTGATTTTTAACTAAATTTTTGAATGTAGGTATCAATGAAACTTTGAATGATTTTAACCCGATGAGAATCCTTTCTAGTCTCAATATCCACTGGATTTCTTGGCTGAGACCTTTGTGTCACCCCTCCTTAACAGGTCATTGGCTCTTAAATCCAGACTTGTATAGGATCTTGTTTGAAAATTTTAAATATAAATTCGCTAAATCTATACTGTGACTCAGGCTGCACTTCAACTTTATACAGAGACATTGCCAGGTAAAACTCTAAAAATGTATTTAAGGCTCTGTGAGGGTATTCTAACCGAAACATACTCGATCAAGAGTTCTCTTCAGTGGATATTTATCATTTACCTAAATTTCAAGCTCACTCTTTACTAAGTCCTAGAGTCCAAGACAGCTGGGTGTAGACACAATTGGCCTTGATGCAGCATGCTATGGAGTAACTTCACTGTATTTCTTCTATCTATTCCTATTCATAAAGACATGAGTCCCTAATGGGTTGTATCTCAGCACTCAAACATTATGTGTTTAACGATATCACAAAAATCAGGATCTTCCTCCAAGAAGTTATTCTTCTTATAAGATTTCCTGGATTAAAGCCTTATTCTTCCTTTAAAATTTAGAAGCGCACGTCTTGGTTGCTCTGATGCCATGATTTATGAATTTTTTAGGAATATTAAGTTAATACAAGGGAAGGATTCCTCTAATAATCATAGATGTACCTCTACTCATTTATTCTTTGAACAAAAGGAAAGACAACATTAAGAATCAAATGTAGCCTTTCGCTTAGAGTTACCTTTTAGAGCCACAGAAAGCTATGATACAAAGCATATGAAAAGAGGAACAGAGAATAGTATCTCCTAGTCTTCCTATCGTCACTCAATAATTCCCAGAAGAGCACCTGCCCGAAACAGGTATTGAAGACTTGTGAATACCTTGAAGGCTCTAGGGATCCCAAGGAGATTCTTGCGCTTAAAGAAGCAAGTTTTTGCATGCATATTTAGTCCAGGTCATCATGAAGAGACTCTTCCCAGAATGTATGCCTTCATGATTACTTAGTAATCTATTTAATCCCGACTGGATACCCTGACTCTACCTGTTAGGATGCTCTAACTTCTTGCCAACAAGTTGTAGCTCAGGTCAAGAATTAAGGAATTTCAGCCTCTTTTGGATGCCTGAACATAGCCATTGCCCCAGCTTATAGCTTAGTGTATGAAGTTGTTTTAGGGTGAAACTGAAATGTAAATTGCCCAGAGCGTTCAAGTTTAATATTAGTTAAGGGGTTTTGGGGTTTTGGGGTTTTGGGGGTTTGGGG